TTTTTTTTGTTCCTTTTCTTATTTGACTATTAGTTACATCAATTGTTCGGTAATTTCCAACAAATAGTTATTATCTAATAATCAATTAGGTATTTAGGAGGTATGTATCTTCACTTGATATACATTGATAATTATATCTACTGATAAGATATTATCAAGTACTTTGGTAAAAATTTGAAAACTTAAACTACATAAATTAATTATTGCATGAAATTTTGATCTGATTGTTATAATTAAAATGAAATATTTGAGGACATTTTTTTTTCTTTGCTTATTTACTAAAGTTAATTAAGATTTAAAAAATTTTCATATATATCTAAAGGTCTAAAATTCAAAATGAAAAAATCTAAAATAATTAAGACCTAAAATATGCATCTAATGGAATAGCAAAAGTAAATAAATTTTCAGGCAATAATTACTTCAAAAATATTGTGTTGCTTTTGCTATTCCGGAATTCAATTTCTCTCTTTCAAATGAAACCACAATTTTCAAATATTTTGGATGAAGAAAACGGTTGGAAACAAATTACACTTACATATTCCGGTAACTTTTTCGGTTTATTGATCAGGAAAGAAGCATATGAAATCATTTGTGTAATTGGAATCATTTGTGGTATATTAATTAATCGTGAATTAACATGTTGATCAAGTAATGATGGTATCATACTGCAAAATTTCCCCGGCAATGTTGCATATGCTTGTGATATAATTTTACTCTAAAAATTTAAAAATTTTAAAAAATAAACTTTTTCATATAATTTTTCGTATACATTCAATTATTATTAATTTAAAAAAAAAAAGTTTGATTATTATAATAAAAAGAAGAGAATGAAAATTATTAATAAACTAATACAATATAGGGAATTTAACAGTTTAATTTCAATTAAGTTAATCAATTCAATTCATTAATTAATTTGGAAAAAAATTTATTTCATTATTTATATACTAAAAGTTTAATTTATAACCTGTTATGAAATATGACAAGAATTTTCATCCCTTTCAGGATAACGATTAATTTATTCCTTAGATATTTTTTAATGAAATTAGTTATTCCTTAGATATTTTTCACTATGATAGTAGATTTTTTAATCGTTTAAAATTTTTAATCATTAAAAAAAATGCAATCATTTAAAATTCACTACTTCTAATTTATATTGATTAATCTTAATATATTAATATGAAAATTAATTAATATATTAGTATATATAAATTAATATATTAATTAATTAATCATCCAATTAACTGATTGAACGAAATTAAGTTGATTCTTTATTGCAATTAAAATTACAGTTGCTCGCGAGATATTTTTCATTATGACAGTACACCTTCCAATCTATAACTAATAAAAAATTTACCAAATTATTGTTTTAACCATTAAGTTTCAAATTATACCTAATTAATTAATTAATCAATTAAATGAATTTAGTCAATTGTTTTATTATACTAATGCATAATCAGTTATTCATTACATATTTTCTACTACAATAGCATATTTTAATTTATTAACAAAAAAATTTATGTAATTATTAATTAATTTCCAAATTTTAAATTAATTTCAATTCCAAAAAAAAATTCAATTATTACCCGAAAATTATTATTGATAACTTCACCAATTAGACCACCATTAACAATATGCATATTTAAGTATCCAAGTGTCAACGAACATTTTGTCATACGAACATATGCCGCACCATTATACGGATTTCGTTCAATTGCTATTTGTAATGAAACCGATATCTAGAATCAATCTTTTTATGGTAAAAAAAAAATCTTTTAAAGTTTTTTTTTCATTTTTTGAATTTTTTCATTTTTGAATTAAAACGAAAATTTTTACAAATTAATAGATGGGTTAAAAAGTTAATTGTTAGAAAAAAAAAGGAAACCTGTCGAGCATCAATACATAATGTTCCACAAAGTGGTAATGGCAATAAGACAATAACTTGTCCGCCAAGTTGTCCGCTCAAACTGAAATTTACAAAAAAAAAATTAAATTATAAATTTCAATTGAGTAATAAAATTTTAAAGTGAAATTTGAAAAATGTTAAAATTTCAACGGTAAAAGAGAATCATTCAAACTTACAACAAAACTTTAAAATAATTAAGCAAAATTAAACAATAATGCAAAAATTATTTGGAAAGTTAAATCGAAAAAAAAGGGCGATAAAAGCTTTTATGAAAAATTTTAATTTATAAATTAAATTTTTAAATAACAAAATTTTAATAAAAGATTTATTTAAAAAATGGTCCACGATTATTAAGCTATCAATAGCATAACATCGTGTTATTGATAGCTTAAACTAAAATGTCATATTTGTCATGAAGCATTGAATCCATTTAATTACGAGTAAGCTGTTTTTGCTCTTAATAACAATCCATGGATAGATTGTTTGGCCAAGTATAGAAAGAGCCAGAAACATTTATGTAATGAAGCCTAGAGTAATATGCAAGAGAAAAGCTTTTGTTCCTCAAATTTTTAGTTAGAATCTGATCAATTTCAAATTTCGAACAGGTAATAATTAAATGTGAATCCGGAAAATGATTGGAAGATTAAATGCATTACGAAATTATTAAACTAACTGATAAAGATCATTATCTTATCTTTTCCTGTATGCAAAATTCGATTTCATTCTTATTTCAACTTTCATTTAATTTTTATTTCTTTTTTTTTTGTAATAAATTATCAAAGAATAAGATAACCTTAAATCAAAATTTTGTATACTGAGTGCAATTTCATTATGTGACACTGGAAATAATGTGACATGTTGAGCACATCGATAATTTGTTATCAATATATTTGTAAGAAATGCACATCCATTAACCTAAAAAAAAAAAATTATTTGTGTAAAACAACCATGAGAATAATTATTGATATGATAGGAATAATCTTATCAGTTGAAATAACAAATAATAAACGACGAAATAAATTTAATAAATGGTTAATTTTAAAAAAAAAAAGTGAATTTAATTAAAGAAAAAGCAATAAATGATTAAATTAAGTAAATTTGTAATTTTAAAATTTTACTTCAAATTCATTTTATTGATCCTTTTTTTTTCCGTTTTGAATCATATAGTTTAAAAAGAGAAATGATGTCAAAATTTGAATAATTAAAAGATACGTATGAATGCATGTGACACATGTGACATTATTATTTCTCCTTAATGAGGGAAAGTTACAATTAATGCATATTGTTAAAATTTGTTTTGATTAATTTTAAATTTTGATTTGATTCTAACTTAAAATTCATGAATAATTGGAAATTAAGATTTCGAAAATGGAATTACTCTAGGAATTGTTAATGAAAATAAAATATTAAAGATATTCTTATTTTACAATATCCATGGTAAATTCTCTGCATATATTTTGTTTTATGTTTGTGATATTAAAAAAAAAAAAAAAAAATTAGTATCTAAAATTTAAATTAAATTCGGCGAAACATTGGCATACTTCCGGAATGCATTGAGTGAATGATGGTATTCGAGCGTTCCGTATCTCTTGATTTAGCATTTGTGCAATTACTAAACTGGCATAATTGAATGCATTCCTGTTGAATCGTATTTTAAAACCGGAAGAGCCGAATTGTCCATAGGATCGTAAAATAGGATTGAAATCGTTTGTATTAACTCTATAAAAATGAGGAAGAGAATTTCATGGAAATGGCTAAAAATATATCATATGTAATCATTTTTGTTCACAAAATTATTTATTTAAAATTTTTAATTAAGAAAAAAAAAGTATTTGGACTAAATAAGTAAATTACATTATATATAATACAAATAATTGAATAATTAATTTGTATATTTAAAAAAAAGAAAGGTTGAAATATTTTAGATTAAACGAATGAATATAACCAAATGGCTACGTTACAATTTTTTTTTTTTAATACAAAAAAAAATTTCAATAGTTTACCGTCCAGCGGTTTCAACATCAAACATATAATTTCCGCATTGCGGAAAGGATGATAATGGCCTTCCGGGTGAATTTTGCCGCAATATGGCGCTAATATTCACCGGATATGATGATAATATTGTCAGAAATAGTGTTATCTGAAATATTACTTGAATGAAAATTATCATTGTTTTATTCTTGGATAGTTTAGAAAATGAAAAAAAAAAGAAATTGGAAAAAGGAAGGAGTAAAAAAAAAAAAAAATAAATAATTTTAAGAAATATTCAAACAAATTGCATTAAAAATTTATAAATTACTACCCATTTATTTGCAAATTTTTGTCCGGAACGGATATTATTAAATTGTCTTCTTCCAGTTTCAGTTGTTCACTAATATTTAAATTTTGTATGAAATGAATGTTATTGGATTTATCATCGCCCAATTTTAATTAATTCAAGCAATAGGCTTACCAAAATGTTCATAATTCATGCGTTGTTTATTGTTGAATTCAAATGACAAATAATTTCCTATAAAAAGGGACAATTTGAAAAATTTCAAATTTTAGGACAATGTTTGTTCATCGTTTCATTTCAGTACGATTTAACAATGCGAATTTTTATTGATAGAATTTCTTTCTCTTAACGAAAAATACAAAATATAACATAAAAATTTTTATAAAATGTAATATTTTGAATGGCTCATCAGCAAGTATTTTCAATTAGCATTTCAAATTTGCATAAACCTCAAATAATAAACATAACAGAGGAATACAACAATGTATAGAACAATTTTAAATGACACATCAATAAGTCAATAAGCAACAACAACAACAAACAACAAAAAAAAAAACAAAAAAGCAACAAACAACAAGTACAACAACAACAACGACAATAACAATAAGCAAGCAACAAACAACAACAAATAAC